GAGTAGAAATATAAATTTGGCAGAAAACTATACTTAATTACAGTAAATGTACACATCCCACCACTAAAGTACAGTATTGTATATCTAAACATAAATATCTAAGTACTGCCTGTGTGGGCAAGTTTGTATTTTCATACAAACGAATGAGCTCTATTGCAGTTTTTTAATTTCTGTGGCTCTATGTGGAGGAAAGTCTTACACTGTTATAAGAAGCCAATCATAGACACCTCATCAGCTCACAAACTGGCAGACATTGCAAAGAAATTAAACTTTCATGCCGCGACGAGTGCTTGGGAAACATTTTTATGATCTCTGTAGCCAGGAAGAAGGCCATTTACTTTGTCAATTCACCTCGTAGAGCTTGGTTCAGAGGCTCACTCAACACATGCTCATGGTGTGCAGCTGGCAGAGGGATCTGTATGTATCATGCTCTATGAAATGTTTCATCATCTGTCGTTTCTCGATGTTGAACACATGCATTGTAGTTTAAAAAAAAAGGTTTACAGAAAGCAGCTCTGCAAAGGGTACTCTGGACTAGTGTGGAGGAAAAGCTTACACTTTGTTCTTTCCATATGCCTCATTTCAGTTGTGTGGGGGCCAGTACAAGTCTTTATGTTTTAGAGTGATGTTTATCAGGGGACAGATCCTGCTGGTATAATCATTACGAGGCTGAGTGAAATGTCTTGCTGAGCACGTACATGTGTCTAATGGGAAACGTCAAAAGGTGCTCTGTCTTTTCTCACCATGTTCCAGAGAGAACATTTCCATACTCGTGGAACATGCCGAGGCAGTCCAAACCAGAACGGGAAGATTATCGGCAGAGAGATGAGAGTAGAATTTCATTCATGCTACATATACAGAGTAACATCAAAGAGAAAAGAACAGAGTCCCTCAAGATAAGCATGGAAAACAACTCCAGAGTACATAAACAGATGCATGACGTAATGCATCAATTAATTTACCAAAACATTCCGTAACCAGCAGCACATGTGTTCACTGTAAATAACAGGACTTTTTGAAAAAGGTAATATCTGTATTATAACAGCATATAATCCAGTTATAAATAATATAATCAGTTGTGGTTATTAATCAAGTAACACTAAACCGACATTAGGGAACTGTATATATATATATATATTTTTTTAAACGTCAAACTTACTTTTAGTTTTACTAAGTGCATTGTGCAACATTAAGTCATCAGTCAAACCAACAACCTTTTAACCTTTAGCTAAGTTTCAAAACTATCAGTTTAGTCATCCATTAGTCATGTATCTCATCCAGATGTCTGGTGGAGGAAAGGAGGGGAGGAGGAGATAGCAGCAGGTGTAGATCTCTCTGAGCCCAGCTGAGCTTTAAAAGGCAGTGCTTAGCACCCACAGCTCCGTCATCTGGCCTCTCCCCTGTCTCCGCCAGCCTTTCGACAGCCCATTCCTCATCATTTACCCCTTTTTGGCAAAGCCCAGAGCCCTGCTAATGGGCTGCTCTGAATGCTTCCAGATGTTTGTTTATTTGTTGTGCAGCAACTATAAAACAGTTTACTCTTAGTTTGGATCTGTTCCCGTTGCTCCATTTTTTTTTGGGGGGGGGGGGGCTGAGGGAGCGAAGGGGAATGTAGCAGGATCTGCGGTGCGGATCACCCCGACATCTAATGAAAGCGAGCCGACAAACAAATGTGAGACGCCCCATGGGTGTCGTCAGAAGGAGTTTTTTTTTTTTTGATTTGATGGCAGCTTTCCTCTTGGGATTTTAATAACAGTTGTGCGCCATTTAAGATACATACATACAAAGTAGCTGGAAGCAGGCCCAGAACAACAAGATTAAAAGGGCCCAGGGCTCGTACTGTAAGGCAGATTTCAGGCATTTTTCCTCATCTGTTTACTCTACTTGCACAAATATATCCCTTTCATTTACCGCTGTCCCGGCTGAGGGATGGCCTACTCAAATTTAAACTGATACCTGTAAAAAAAAAAGTAGTAAATAGTGCATAGCATATTTATTGAAATATACAAAGGAAATGAATAGTATTTCATTACGATCTCTTATGTGTACATGGATATCAATCAAGTCTGAAGCATTCTTTTTCATACTTCTAAACTACAGTTCTAATCAGATCTATGAAATAAACTTGTGAATCACACTTTAAAATGTGACATCCTCGACAAATGACAAGCTGGTAATAAATAACCAAGCACAACGTTTACATGTGGCTGTGGCTTAATCGTATGGTATAGGCCAGTCTTCAAGAAGACACACTTTAGGCTGGCACTCTTTTTTGGATGAATAGATTTAGAGTTGTGTTGACAGTTGGACCAGTACTGAGAGTTAGAGCCATGGTGACAGTAGTGGAGGATCCTCAGGCCCCTCTGCCAGACTATATATGCCACTCCACTCCATGTCACGCCTTCACCAAGACACACTGGAGCCCCCACCCTCCTCCTTCACTTTGTCTTTTGTCTAGCGCTCTCTCATTTTTAATTCTTGTCTTTTTCCAGTGTTTAACGCGGGTCCTGTTGCTGTCTTTTCATCTCTCCTTCATCTTACCTCTGCTATGTCTATTGCTTGTCTGATCTGGTCTATGAAATCTTGATTTAGATTTAACTACCACAACAGCACACCTTTCGCTGTCATCCCTCCTCTCCCTCCTCCCTGCCTTGTTTTGCTCCGTCTCCTCCAGGTTGACTCCTCCACCAACCAAGACAGGAGCTATATCCTGGAGTTCTGTCCTTGGTTTCCACCCCTCCTTCTCTGGGCAGTGACCTGCCAGCGCTGCCCTCCTCTGGGAGCTCCTACATGCTGTAATTACCTCTGGCACCCAGGCTCTTGGGCTTCCACACAGGTGACACAGTGGAGGGGGAGGGTGCAGAGGGTTGAAAGGAGGAAAGGGAGGTTCTTTCCAAGCAGCCGACAGGGCGATGTCAGAAGAGCTGCTGATCTGCCTGCTACTGCAGGAGTAAGGATAAAACTACACAGCCTCTGTCGTACCCCCATTAAAAGAGGCCACTTCATTAACAGTTAAAAAAAAACTACTATCACAATCACATAGCCGCATACTTAGAAACATTTCAGCTGCTTAATAACGATGTAATGATTCCACATCCACCTACAAGTCCATGTTTTTTCTATATCGTGAAGTGTCATGATTCAATATAATATCATTGCAGCATAATTGCCTTTTATTTCATGTACTGGGGATTTCTCAGCACAATAGTACAAAACAAAAGCAGTTCTTCACAGAACAAAAAAAAAAAATATATATATATATTATAACCGCCTCACTTTTTCAACAGATTAACAAATTGTGTCGTGATTTGTTTTATTCACGATCTGTACTGGAACAAATTGAACTACATCAAATCGCTCAGCATCTCTTTTTACCCCTATTGTTTACATCCTGTATTTAACTCAGTAAATGCTCAGTTGTTTGGAATTACTGTCTGAAAAATGTTGTTTGTTGCAGCACGGCTTTGCCACGGCTTCGATCTCTTTGAATGAGCAGTTACTGTGACTGTCTCCAACACATACAGAAAACTCAAGTATGTTTAAGAAGTGTAAATAAAAGGGAAAAAAAACAAAGAGCTGGGGTAAAGGGCTGGAGGCGGGGACATGAAGACGAGGTGAAGGGCGAAAATGAGGGCTGTGTTATCTAAGACTGCAGCACTGCATCATAAAAATAACAAATGGAGACTGTCACTGCTGCTCAGATCTTAGACGAAGGGGAAAATATTTCATGTCAGATCCTCTCACCTTTAAATGGACTGTTCTTAGCCAGGTCTGATTTTGACAAAGCACCAGGCTCTTCCTGTCCTTATATCCGATGAGAGCTGCCACCATTCATGCTTTCATAACATAGATCTGTCCTTGGCACCATAAGCGAGGGGTAGAGATTCTCATTGTTGACCTGTTGTGCTACCATACTAGTGGTCGACCCATCACAGGTGTTTTGCATTGGAAGGCAGTGATGAATGTCTCAGGCACAAGAAATGACCTGATACAATCTACTCCACACACACACGACTCAGTCAGTCAGGCAAACTGGAGTTTGATTAACTGTAAAGTGCACATTCAGGATGTTATAACACAAGATAAGATGTCAAGCAATTCACAATAAAGAAGACCGACTTAATAATTTTTGTTTTGCAAGAATGTATGTTAAACACTACCTTTTAGGAATATACGAACTGTTGCAGGTCGTTCACCTTTTATTAGCCCGTCTGGCATTTAAAATGATGTCAAATGGTTACCAGTGCTACTTTTACACTGTGGTGACACCTATGGTGAGAAATTATCTTTATTAAATTATAATTCTTAAGACAGCCAAAGAAATGTATTTTGGTAGCCCAATGACACAAACTGATTAAATGCTAGACTGTACATGGACTGAGTCTGAGGATTCAAGTAAAATACTTTTTATATAATCTAATTTACGGGTATAATATAATAAAATGGACTACCAGGGTTTTTTACATCAACCTCAGCAGAGAATCTGCTCCAAACGCAGGCGGTGACCTGCACAATTATTTTGAATGAATGCGATGCATTCTTCTTAGATTGCAGTGTTTGATACTAAGGAGTTGCTACACAATTACATCAACCGACTACACCGGGTCAACACGAGGCCCAATCAATGTCTAGTGTCAACAGATCAAGGATGCTTCTTATGTATGTGCTATGTGCTCCCACGCATGCATTCAGATCAGAGTTAACCTACATTACTCAGATTTATTCCCACTATCAACATATCACACAGATGAGATGAGATCAATAAGAATAGACAACACAACTTCAACGCAGTCTCAAGGCCAATAGATTCCCACTCTCTGTAGCCGTTTGGGTTGTGACGTATGTGTATTTGCATAATCCGTGGGCCTAGGTTTTGATTGAATGTAGGATAATATATTGTGTCGCCTCTTGTTGACTTTAAAGAATATCTGAAGGGATGCATGTATAAACCGCCTAACTGAAAAGGTTATGAAGTCTGTAGGTCTTTCTTATTTCCTTACCTTTGTGGTTCTTGGCATCTCTGGATCCTCGGGGTAGAGGAGTGTAGGGCAGTGGGTGACTTTCAGAGCCAGTCTCATTAGGTGGCTAGGAGTTAGGAGACAAACAAAAATAATAAATATTTGGAAGGAAAAAGGTTGTTACAGTAGCTGAATGTGAGTGTCATAAATCCTTTGGGATTGGTACAGGAAAGGTTGGAAACACTTCACCTGTTTTATTACATAATGTGGCAGGTCATGTTTTATCAATTCTCACATTTTGTGGAGCTTCACTCCTGTCTTTGATGATCTGATCTACGACCTGGTTAGGGAGGAGAGGTCTTAACCTTCACTCAGCCATGTCCTCCTGCAGTGGTCAACTAAAGGGTAGATGTCACTCACTCTGAGCAGACAAATGCAGCGAGGTTATGTAAAGGTAGTCCTCTCTACAGAGCGGACACGCAATTTGCACTTTAACTGGATACCTTAAGTGATGACACATAATTGAAAATGTGAGATAAATATGTGCATAGATTCCTGGCTGCGAAACAAGAACAAGCTGTGAGCAAAGTCAGTGGTTCAGGCTAAACAGGCAAATGCTGCTATAAGACAAAGAGAAAACAGAGGCCTGCATTTTAGAGCATGTTCCCGAACAGGTCAAGAGTTTCTTGTGTTGTTGTTCTTTCATACACTTTCAAGGACCAAAACATCCTCTTCCTTCCCTTAGCCTTTTAGGTAGTGGAGCAGGCAGGCAGTTTATCATGACACAGCGATATCCGATGCCTTTGCAGAAATACTTTCCATTTCTGCAGGAAGGAATTCACTGGGTCTTTAATCATAGCAAATACAATACTGACAAATACATATTAGAGATGGTTTGGAGCTGCATTTTTCCCGCTTTTATTGTTGTTCCTCTACATGCCGATGCATAACCTTGAGAAATGGAATGGTCTGCACTGTTAAATGCAACCATATTCTTCATGGGCAAAGAGAGCACTGTGAATTGAAAACGATCACATAATGTGCTTTCAGATAGCATCTCTGAAAGGCATTAGGGCTGGCCGGCATGTGTGTCACATTACACCAAAGAGAAAAATGGCAAAATAAGCTCATTCTGAGACCTTACTACATATGCTGGTAGATCATGCTTTTGAAAGGAACAGCTTGAGATAGAAATATTGTTTTGACAGCAGACCCTTGCTGCCTCTGGAGTGGCTGAAACATGTTTAGAAATATCACAGATCACTCCCTGCTTGTACACTGTTCTTGTATGGAATGTGTAATGCAAGAAGTAAAACAACCCCAAATAAGAACATACTGTGCTCAGTGAAAAACATACACACCATTTGAGGAAAAACAATCAGGTATCCATACTAATGTTTTTTTTTTATTGTAGCACTGCAAAATGGATATTGAAATAGGCCAGAAAGATCCTGAACCAATATGATCATTTACCAAATGACCACTACAAATAAAGTCTCTTATTTTGCCCTAATTTTGCCATTTGGTTTTGAGGATATAATTGATAATGGCTGTCTCTGATAAATACTATGAGCTAACAGAGCAAATCAGCCATTAACAATTGTGAGCCCTCTCTATTTGATCTACCTCCATGCTCTTCTGAGCCACCGTGGTGTTGCGCCCCTGCCTGCCTCATTTCCTGGCCTGCTTGAAAGATCACAAGCCCGGGCCTCTTCTGGCCTGCTTGGCCCCCAAAAGCCCCTTCTAATCCTGCTGCTTGCTCACAATTAATCTTCCTAGTTGCCACATTATTAACAGCACCACCCACCGACTATGTTAGGGGGGCGTTGGAGGAGAAGGAAGAGGAGGACTGCTGGGGTTAGCTGGATAAAGCCCTGGGCTGGTTTTAGTCCTGTGGGACTTCAGTCGTTTGCGTTCAGTATTACCACCCACCCGGTCCCCGTGCTATGCATGACACCACCACTTCACCTCCCCAGTATCTTGCCTGCTGATCAAACACCCTGTCCATTCAACATCTGTGGTTGTCACTTCCTGTCCTATCCAGACCAACCATTTTACCCCACCCACAGAACAACATTCAGCCAGCTTTCTCATGTCCTAATCCTCCCTTTTCTCCTCTCAGACCTTCCTCCGTACCCCTCCACATCTGCACTCTTTCACTTTAGTCAACAGCCTGTCCAGAGGAGGAGGAGCAGCAAATGTTTAAAAATGAAAAAGCATGTGGAACAGTGAAGGAGAATTTTCTTTCTTGTACTTGCTTTAATGGATTGATGTCTGAGATCATTTCAATATATTATACGGTTAATACAAAGGGACGATAAAGATGGACTATAACACCAGTCTTCGCGGACCGATGGGATGTTGTTGACAATTAATTGTTATTATAAACACAGAGTGCTACACGACTGTGTAATAATTTCATAAAAATCCAAAATTGACATAATTATGATTTACATTTAGTTCTTAGCTCTAAACAAGCGCTTCCTCAATGATTTTAGTCTCTTTATTCACCCTTTCCTGTATCCTCTCTTTCTCTCCTTCTCTTGTTTTCTTAAGTTGTACCTACACTGAACAGAGGGAGGTGCTGCTGTGTCGTGTATTTAAGATGCTCCTGGACCCCCTTTTCCTCTCTCCCTCTCTCTCCGTCTCTCTGCTGTCCAGATTAGTCTGCTCATCAAGCTGAGCATTGTTTTAATTTGCTGGGCCTGGGGCATATGCTGAGTGTTCACATCATTATTGTCTCTGTGCAATGTGAGTTATCACCACAGCTTATGATAATGCGGCACAAATTTACAGGCTGGGGAGCACCATGGATTCTGTGATAATAAAGGGTGGACAGAGGGAGAGAGAAATGTAGAAAGTGTGTGTATGTGTGTGTGTGTTAAAGAGAAAAGGGTGGTGGCAGAGAGAGGAAGCTCTGTTGGATGTCATTATGAAAGATGATTCCCGTACTGGATAATACATCACACCAATGCTGTCTTGTCTTCTCCCTGTCTGTGTTGTTATGCGAATAAATGCCGATAAACCCAGAGGCAATAGTGATTATTACTTCCAACAAATCACCATGAGAGAGGGGAGCAGGAAGAGGGAGACAGGGGAGGGACGGAAAAGCAAAACACAAAGAGAGCAACACGGAGCTCATAACCACCTCCACAGTGGGGTTCCTGAAAATATGAGATACCAAAAAGTGAGTCGGGGAAGGTTGACGCATACCGAGGTGTTTTTTTTAGACGTAACTACAACTAAGTTTACAAAGTTTTGCAAGCTTGGCTGCCGATTGCAAATCTCGATGGGTGTGATATTACAGAACATTACAATGATACAACTGATCGAGAAAGATTTCACTCGAATGCGATTGTGATGTTGGCTGCCACAGTGTAATGTACAAAAGTACATAAAGTAACTAAAGTAACACACACACGCTTTCCTCTCTCGCAGCCTGGCTCCGAGGTCTCACCCTGACCAGCTCATCCCGACACACAGGTGGTTCCTGCCTTGCCTCACCTCACCTCCCTCTTTAAGACTGACCAGCAATACAATCTAATTACAGCCGCGCTACAGAGGGAGACCAGTGTAAACACCAGCCCTTTTTTTATCTCCTTATACATCTGGACAAGTAGACAAAGTGCTAAAAGGAAATAAATGTGGCCTGACAGCCACATCAAAGAGTTCAGCCAGAGGCTTAATGCTACTTAGGGCACAGGAATGTTGTTGCTAAGCATCAGCCCGCAACCTATCAGGGTGCAAAGAGGGCCCTGTCCTGCCTTGGAGAGGGAGAAGGGGAAAAGAGAGAAACGAAGAGGAGAGAGAGGGAGGGTGGTGAGGGAAGGGGGGCTGACATTGAGGGGAGGCTAGGGACTCAAGGAGATTTTTGTAGCTTAAAGCAATTGTTGGAAGAAACAAGCCTTCTGTTTTGTTTTCTCTTGACACCATTTCTGCTTTTTTGTGCTTGCAAAAGACATGTATAAAAATGTCTTTTGATATGTTTTCTCTTTGGGTCTATATCAAAATATTTCTTTTGTGTCTGTGCATGGAACTTTTTTCACATCTTGTCTCTGTAAACTGCTGCTGCTTTCTGATCATGTTAGAGATCAGAGGAGACACAACTTGTGAACTTATTTGAGTCAACATTTAATGCTGGCATGACACGTTTATTTCTTCACTGGATAGAATTCTTTTGTGATCCATGTGTCATACTTCTGAAGTTACGGGGTTACAAACAATACAACACTTTTAGAAATAAACGAATAAACGAAATGAAGCGAGTAAGTAGCACCAGCTTGCCAAGCTTACAGCATATAATAGCAATGATGAAATGAGAAATTCTCTAATTCACTGCCAACTTTTGAATCTACCTCTAGTATAGATGTACACAAAGGAGTTGTGTGCATAACGTAGTGTTTTCAAACAGAAGCCTATCATTATGGTGTACTAAAACACAAAATATTATTATTTGGACGTCATTATATATCTGGAAAAAAAGCTTAAGCTCAAGGTGAAATCGTTTAAAAGCAACATAGCAATTAAAATTCTTCTTTTTTAAAATCTGTGATATCTAATGATGATGGCTAAGGGGAGAAGAGAAAACACAATAACGCGTTTCAAATCTCTGTTGTAAGCATGAAAGGCATAAACTCTGTTTTCTTAGGTAATGGCAGAGGGAAGAACATTTGATGTAATGGTGCCTGGGCTTGTGGGTAGTACAGCAGTCTTTTGCTGAGCAGGAAGACTGCTGAGCGTGTGTTTAATGATTTACCAGTTCTACTCCAATGAACTTGCTCTGAGTAAATGTATCATATGATCACTGATCACAAGAGCAACTGTTTCGATGTTTCGCTCGGAGCACGGGGCACACGGAGCGAACCGGCAACAGGGAACATTTGCCGTTTTGTGTCAGACAGGCAAAGGTTGAGTGCTGCTGGACGTTAATCACCCACAGCGATGACTCATAGATGGTAATAAGGCTGTATTTGTTTTTAGGTTGAAATTTAAGAATCCGTTCGACCTTTACTCGGAGTGTCTTGCAGAATAAGTGATTTAAAGCGGAAATGTATGCCTACATTACAGGTATGCGGTACAATTAGCTTGAGGCTATTTCTTATTTTGGTCTAGTTTGACCTTTTGCAT